ATACAATTTCGTGGCTACTGGCAGAAGATGTAAGACTTTTGAATAAGAGATGAAGGACTTTATTACTCAGGGGCCCTGGGTGGCTCAGCCGTTAAGTGTCTGCCTTAGGCTGGGTTGTGATCCCGGGGCCCTGAGATCGAGTCCCGCTTTGGGCTCCCTGCTCAGTGGGAAGCCTGCTTCTCCCTCTCCCACTCTCCGTGCTTGTGTTCCCTCTCTCGCTGTGCCTCTCTCTGTTAAATGAATAAATAAAAAAAAATTTTTTTTTTTTAAAGAACTTTAGGGCGCCTGGGTGGCTCAGTAGGTTAAGCCTCTGCCTTCAGCTCGGGTCGTGATCTCAGAGTCCTGGGATCAAGTCCCGCATTGGGCTCTCTGCTCGGCAGGGAGCCTGCTTCCCCCTCTCTCTCTGCCTGCCTCTCTGCCTACTTGTGATCTCCCTCTGTGTGTCAAATAAATAAATAAAATCTTTAAAAAAGAACTTTATTACTCACAGCACACAAATGTCATGAATGTGAGCATATCGGTCCCTTCCCCTTCCCCTCAAGTCTTGCCAAAGCAAGGCGGGCGGACTCCTATGGGTGCCTGGAGGGACTCTGAGCTGGGGGCATCCAGGTGTTTTATAAGGAGCAGTAATACGCCAGCCCTTTGCTCCAGAGGGGCGAGTTGTCTCTACTGTCCAAGGCTGTCCACTATACAAACATCCAGCAAAAGACAGTCTGGAACCAAGGTAATGTCTCCGCTCACTACACCTGCATTCATGTGAGAGATGCGGTGATCAATGGTCTCCTACAGTTTCACTCCTCACATCTCACTAAATCCTGATGGCAACCCTGCCAAGTAGGTATTTAACTGACCTGGTTTCACAGATGAGGAATTGAAGTCCAGAGAAGTGAAGTGAATTACTCCTGGTGACATAGCCAGTAAGCAGTGGATCTGGGCCAAACCCAGGCCAGCCTGATTCCAGCCCTGTGTCTTGTCCATCCTCCTGCAGAACTTGAGGCATGGACGGGCTCCGAGGGGAGAAAGATGATGGCAATTCCCTTGAGTAGTGGGACAGGACTGTAGGGAGGGTGGGAAGGGTTGATGGAGTCCAGGAGCCAGATCTGTAGGACCTTGGAGACCATAGTAAGGACTTTGGATTTTTGTCTAAGGGTGATTGGGAGATGCCAGAGAGTTTTGAGCAAAAGAGTGATATGACCCGATTTATGTTTTTTTTAAAGACTTTATTTATTTGACAGGCAGAGATCACCAGTAGGCAGAGAGTCAGGCAGAGAGAGAGTGAGGGAAGCAGGCTCCCCGCTGAGCGGACAGCCAGATGCAGGGCTCGATCCCACGACCCTGAGATCATGACCTGAGCCCAAGGCAGAGGCTTAACCCACTGAGCTACCCAGGCGCCCCTGACTTGATTTATGTTTTAAAGATTTATTTATTATTTATTTGAGAGAGAGAGAGAGAGAGTTGTGAGAGCACGGTGGGAAGGGGCAGAGGGAGAGGGAGCTGAGTGCAGAGCCCCATGTGAGGTTTGATCCCACGACCCCAAGGTCACGACCTGACCAAAACCAAAAGTTTGATGCTCAACTGACTGTGCCGCCCAAGTACCCCTTGATTTATGCTTTATTTATTTATTTATTCACTTATTTATTTTTGAAGATTTTGTTTATTTTGTTGGAGAGAGGGAGAAAGAGAGAGCACAAGCAGGAGGAGTGGCGGGCAGAGGGAAAAGCAGGCTCTCCCCAAGCAAGAAGGGCGATGTAGGACACAATCCCAGGACCCTAGGATCACGACCTGAGCCGAAGGCAGATGCTTAACTTACTGTGCCACTCAAGCGTCCCCTGATTTATGTTTTAAAATAATTGTTTCCTGTTCTGCAAGGTGGGGATAACAGTAGTACCTTCCCGATAAGGTTGTCATGAGGAGTAAATGACAGGAATTAAACAGAAGGAGGAGTGCCGGGGTACTAGTTGGTGCCAGGAAGAATAGCTGTTGGCTGAGTGGATACTGGCCATGATGGTGACAGAAGGTGCACTGAGAAATTTAGGATGGGGCTGGGAGCTGAAGACAGTATGGACCTGGAGGGTCTGTACATGCGGGCTAGAGTCCAAGAGGTCCTCTAGTCAGCTTGGCATAACTTACCTAGGGTCAGGCCCAGAGTCAGGAGCACTGCTGCCCAAGAGCCTGCCAGTAGATGGAGACAGTGAAGAGGGGCACAGGGCTCTCCAAGTAAGCAGGCGGCAGCAAGGGTCAGAAAATGGCAGTTTCAGGCAATCTATGTAGAAGGAAGATGGGGCCAGGAGAAGGGCGTTCAACTTTCAGGTAAGAATGCAGAAGCATGTGCTGTCTAGTTAAAGGAGGAGGTTGCCGATCAGATTACGGGGGAAGGGGGTGTCTAAATCCTAGCTCCTTCTCCCCTGCCCTGCGAACCGCCTTAAGGCCCTTCAGGCTACACTTTAGGGCACCATTGCCTGCCCCATCTGGCTTCTCCAAACCTAATAAGGGAGAGGATGCTTAAAGAAAAAGAACACAGGGACGCCTGGGTGGCTCAGTGGGTTAAGCCTCTGCCTTTGGCTCAGGTCATGATCCCAGCGTCCTGGGATTGAGCCCCGCATCGGACTCTGCTCGGCAGGGAGCCTGCTTCCTCCTCTCTCTGCCTTTTTCTCTACTTGTGATCTCTGTCAAATAAATGAATAAAATCTTAAAAAAAAAAAAAAAAAGAAAAAGAAAAAGAACACAGAAGGGTGGGGGGGGGGCGGAAATCGAGTCCAGTGTTCATGGAGCACGAGTAATTTTAACAGAGACCCACCTAAAAAACAGCATAATTGCGATAACCATAACTATTCTAGATCATTCAGCTTCACCAACCCACGGGAAGCGCTCCGCGGCCGCTGGACCCCGACCTGCACATGCCCAGTACAGCGCTTATCAGCCAGCGAGCGTTTGGAGGACCTAGATTTAAAAAAAAAAAAAAAAAAAAAAAAAGTGAGGGGCGGACTTCGCATCAGTCCCAGGCCTTGGGGTTAAGGGGATCGGCAGACTGGGCCTCCGAACATGCAGAAGGGAGTGAGGGTGTCTTGAAATAGGCTGAAAGGTACAGAAAGGGAGGACGACCCCCCGCCTGGTCGGTCTTGCGGGTTAAGTGAGAAGCACTGACGACTGAAGAGGCTGTATGGGGGCGCAAGGGGCCACTTGTTATCATCAGGGGTGCTGTTGATTACGCCACTGCCCCGCCTGCCCCGGGTCTCACTTGTGCGGAAAGGGAAATCCAAGGGGAGATGGAGGCCTGCGGGAATTTCTCAAATCAAGTGGTCCCCATCTGCGGCGGGCAGGAAGGGCGACCCCGCGCAGCCACTTTCAGGTCCTGCGACCCGAGCGGCGTTAGCCCGGAGACTCCCGTCCTGCGGCCCAGCGAGCCCAAAGTTCGTCTGCCGGGTTCGCGCGGAGGAGCTCGCCCACAGGCCAAAAGCTCCAGCAGCAGACACACCCCACTGCGGGCAACTTGACGTCTGAGAGGCGCCATTTCCGCCCTCATCCTGGGCCTAAAAAGAGGGGGCGGAGCCGAGCGGAAAGCGCTCTGCTTGTACGTCACGTCCGGTGAGCCTAGTGGCGACAACGGCAACATGGCTCTGAACGGTGCTGGTGAGGGTCTGGGCTGTGGGGGCCTATGGTTGAGGGGTGCAGGAGGTAGCCCGCTCGGGAAAGACCGCTCTGTCTCTTGTGCCTCTCTTCCCCCAGAAGTCGACGATTTCTCCTGGGAGCCCCCAACCGAAGCGGAGACGAAGGTTCTGCAAGCGCGAAGGGAGCGACAGGATCGCATCTCCCGGCTCATGGGCGACTACCTGCTGCGTGGTTACCGCATGCTGGGCGAGACGTGCGCGGACTGCGGGGTGAGGAGAGACTCAGGACGTGGGACCCGGGTTGGGGCCGCGGACCAGGCCGCACGGCTCTTCCCCAACTCTCCCCTCTGGACCCCATCGCCCTGCGTCTCACCCTGTGTCTCATCCGTGCCCGCGTGTTTTCTGCTTCTAGACGATCCTCCTCCAAGATAAACAGCGGAAAATCTACTGCGTGGCTTGCCAGGAGCTCGACTCAGACGTGGATAAAGATAATCCGGGTGAGGGGCGATTGTGCTTGGAGAAGCTGCGTGGTGATAGAGGCCTAGGAACAGTAGGTTTGGGAGGTGACAGTGGAGTCTGTGGGTGAGGCGGAGGTAAGGCGCTTTCCCTTTTCGGCTCTAGAGAGGACCATTCATTCAGTAGAAGCACTAAATACCCGTGTGCCAGACACTATCAAGAATCTGAGCTCCGTTGAGCATAGTCCTAATGGGAGAGATGAAGCAAGGGCATAAATAACTCTGACACAAAGAAGAAAATGGATGAGTTACCTTATACAGGGGAAGGAAAAACATCTCAAGCATAGGAAGACCAGAGCAGTAAAGAGAAGGTGGCCCAGGGCTGATGGGGGACAGACTTCCTGACCACTCCATCCACATTTTCCTCTTTTAGCTTTGAATGCCCAGGCTGCCCTCTCTCAAGCTCGGGAACACCAGCTTGCCTCTGCCTCGGAGCTCCCCTCCGGCTCGCGGCCAGCCCCTCAGCCCCCAGTACCCCGTCCAGAGCACTGTGAGGGAGCTGCAGCAGGGCTTAAGGCAGCCCAGGGGCCGCCCCCTCCTGTTGTGCCTCCAAATGCAGGTGTCCTGGCCTGCACACAGGAGGCCCTCCTGCAGAAGCTGACTTGGGCCTCAGCTGAGCTGGGCCCTAGCACCTCCCTGGAGACCAGCATCCAGCTGTGTAGCCTAATCCGGGCTTGTGCTGAGGCTCTGCGCAGCCTGCGGCAGCTGCAACACTGAGAGGCTCCTCCTGAGAAAAACCCTCTAGAAAAACAGCTGTCCTCTTGTGTGGTTTGTTCTTTTCTTGGTTCTGAGTGTGCATGCCAGCTCCAGCTCCACTTGCCTTTTTCCTACCTTTGGTCTCTTACTCTACCACTGTCTGCTTTCCTTGATGCCCTGAGAGATTCCTTGGGCTTGTTTGTGCTTGGTTTCCCCCACTCAGAATGAGCGGGGAGGGAGAGGACTATGTGATACTTTTTTTCAGAGGAGGAGATCATAGCTTCCTCAAAAGCAGGAACAAGAGGGATGGACCTCTGCGGCATCCCTGCAGCCTCCTCAGCCATCCAGTGCTCAATTCCCAGTCTTGAGTGAGATTTTGGGTTCCAGCCCCTTTTGGTATCTTCTCTGTCCCCTGAGCATTCTGATACCATCATCCTGACCCACCTCATGCCCAGTCAAGGTACTCAGACACGAGACACTGACAGGGCGTCCGGTTTCACGATAGGGACCCAGTGTGGACTTAACTCAAGTTTCCTGACTCCCCACCCCCAGGTTTAGATCCTTTCCTTGGGGAGTTAAAATTGAGCAGAATAACTAAACACATTTTTGTGGGGGGAGCAAAGAAGAACCGCGAAGGAACCCCATTCACCGCTTTCGGTCTCTTTCCCCGCCTCTTTTTCTCGCTCCGTTCTGGTGGATACCCCATTCCCTTTCTCAGCTTTTCGCGATGTGGTCCCACCACCGTAGCCCTTTTAAGAGAGGCCCTGCCCATACGAAGGGGGTGGGGCAGGGGCGGAGTCGGAGGAGTCGGGGAAGGAACAAAGCGCGGCCTGCGGGCGGCGGCTGGGCTCGGCCGGCGGGGCCGCGCGGTGCGGGGCCTGCGGGCTGCGGCCCGGGCGGAGGGTTGAAGGGAAGGAGGCAGCATCGCCGTCCGCGCCGGCCGGGCCATGAATGGGCTGCCCTCGGCCGAGGCGCCGGGCGGTGCTGGCTGCGCCCTAGCCGGGCTCCCTCCGCTACCGCGCGGCCTCAGCGGTCTTCTCAACGCAAGCGGGGGTTCGTGGCGGGAGCTGGAGCGCGTCTACAGCCAGCGCAGCCGCATCCACGACGAGCTGAGCCGCGCGGCCCGTATCCCAGATGGGCCCCGCTACGCTGCGGGCGCCACCAACGCGGGACCCGCCGCCGGTCCCCCCGGCCCGCGTCGCCCTGTCAATCTCGACTCAGCACTAGCAGCGCTGCGCAAGGAGATGGTGAGCGGCTGGGCCCCGGGCCAGCTGGGCGGGGGGCTGCAGCTGAGCATGAAGGTCCCGGGGCGGAGCGCAGTCAGAGGCCCGTAACCGGGATCTCATGGCTTGAGCGTCAGAAGAACTGCAGAAGAGGGTTGGGTCAGAGGGGTTACAGTAACAATGATTATAGTTGCCGTTTATGCCAGTAGTTATCATGTATTTTTAAGTGCTTTACTCATGTTACTTTATTCCATCTTGCTAGGTAAATGTTATCCCTATTTTACAGATAAGGGTCAGTGACTTGTCTAAAGATTCACAGCTTGCAGATGGCGTCCGCTGTCCCCAAAAGTTTGTGCTTAGAGAGGTGCAGGAAGATTGGCTAGGGCTGAGGGTGGCCTGGACCCCAACCCCAGCCCACCCTCAGTCTTTTGCAGGTGGGGCTGCGGCAGCTGGACATGTCCCTGCTGTGCCAGCTGTGGGGCCTGTACGAGTCAATCCAAGACTATAAGCACCTGTGCCAAGACTTGAGCCTGTGCCAGGACCTGTCATCCTCCCTGCACTCAGACAGCTCTTACCCACCTGATGCTGGCCTGTCTGATGACGATGAGCCTCCCGATGCCAGCCTGCCCCCGGACCCGCCACCCCTCACTGTGCCCCAGACACACAATGCCCGGGACCAGTGGCTGCAGGATGCCTTTCACATCAGCCTCTGAAGAGCTGGGGGTGGGGGGAACACGCACCCATGCAAAAGGCTCAAAAACTCAGCCCTTAGTCAGTACTCAGACTTCTAGTGCCTGCTTTCCCTGTATCACCTCACTTCACGAGAAGGCAAGTCTTTGGGCCCCTCAGACGTAAAATTGCCGACACCCTCTCTCTTGACTCTGGTTAGCTAGCACTGGGGTAGGCACCTGGGCTACAGCCTTGGCCCATGGCACTGAACCTCCACTCCTCCCACATGTGTGCACCCCAGCTTAGCCAACCTGCTGTCTGGTGGTGGGGCCCAAAGCATCTGGCACTCCGCTTGACGTCTCTGGGATGGGATGAGTGCCTGGTTCCCATCTCCTTTTCACCTTTTGCTGCTGTTGGCAGCTGCTGGCTCAGGGGCATCCCACCTCTGGTCCCTGCGTTCCACTGCTCTAGACCAGGGCATCCCCATTCTTGCACCCACCCACGGCCGGGAGGGCCAAGGCTCCGTGCTGGATGTTTAAGTTTAGGGGCCAGACTCTTGGGCACGTAGGTAAATAAATACTCTCTCAGCGTTCTTGTGTTCTGAATGCCTGGTTCTGGGGCAGGAAGATAGCGGTGTTTCTGGAAAGTGCGGTCCCGCGCTCCGCCGGCAGGTGGCGCCGAAGACCCCCGAATGGAAGAAAGGCTTGCCACGAGTGAGTGCGAATCCTCCCTCCACCTACCGGGCTGGGGAACATGCGGAGCTGGCCGAGCTAGCACCGCGGTCTGCGACGGCTGGCGAGTAACTTCCCCTCTGGCAGGAGATCTGGGAGCCCAACCCTCCCCGCCCCGCCAACTCGCCTTGGTCCTTCCTGGCCCGCCGGGAAGGAAGGAGAAGGAGCCGCCTATCTTGAGAGAAACTTTCCACCCCAAGTGGGGGCGGAGCTGGGGCGGCACAGGAAATGGGTGGGCCGGAGCCAGCGGGCCTAGGGGCCCCTCGGAGGGAGAGGGGAAGGCGCCTCCAGGATGCGCCCGGGAGCTAGCGAGTGCTCTTCGGGTGGGAGGAAACAGCTGCAGGGGCAGAAAGGGATGAGGTGGCTATGGCCCACACTTCCCCAGAGGCCACATAAGCCCTGGGCGACGGGGCGGGGAGAAAGGACCAAGGCCCTGCGCTCCCGGGCAGGAGATCCAGCTCTAGTGAGGAGCCTTTATGTTCCAGACGCTCCCATTCTGCACTTACTCTTGTACGGGCCGCCTGGCTGCCCAACAGCACTTGGAGACTTTAGGCCTGTGTGTGAGGGACTTCCTCTTACAGAGGACCACACTGCTGGGCCTGGGAGACAAACCCACGTGTCAGGCTCGCGGAAGAAGCCTGCACATTTGGGGATGGTGGGTGTTCAGACCTCCAGGCACACACAAAACCCCTACAGCTCCCTGAGATGAAGAGGAGAGGACCTCGTGGTTACACACTTAGGCTTCCAGGCTGCTCACCCCCACACCCTGCGCACAGTCCCTTGCCTCTGGAGACAACAGTCGGCACTCTTGGCAGATCAGAGAGCCTGTTCAAACCAAGTATTTATTAAGCACCAGGTTGCAGTCCGTTCACAAACCCTGCCTAGTGCCGGCAGGGAGGGAAAGCTGAGGAGCTGCCTCGGGGCAGCTCCTAACTCCCCCCGGACACCTGGAGGTGCTCATTAGCATGCTGGGCCCAAAGGTAGGCGATAAGGGCTCTGATCTAGGTGTGAACAAGGCAGCTAATGCCTGGGGCAGCCTTCTTAGGCGAGGGAGAGTATATGTATCTGTGTAGCCCAAGCTCCTGCTTACACACACACACTCTCTCTCTCTCCCTCCAGCTGCAATAACGGATTCCGTTTAATGAGACCTCAGAAAATCAGCCAGTCTGCGTAGGGAATGCTTCCCAAGATTTCCTACTCTCAGTGACTGTGTAAGAGTCAGAACTATAATTATCCCTATTTAACAGAGGTAGAAACTGAGGCTCAGAATATTAGTACTTTGCCCAAGTTCACACACTTGTTGGAAATCAGCTGCTTGTGGGGTGTTGGGACTGTCTTCCCACTTGACAGCCAAGGAATCAGGTTCCGTGACTGGCAAATGCGTGCTACCCAAAGGTAGGGACACTCGAGTTGACCCCTGACTCTGCTCTAAGACCTGGGTGACAGCAGGAGTCTGCCACCGCAGTGTTGACAGTTGGCTCTGGCCCAGATTCGGAGCGTGGCCCTGAGCATGTCTGTTCTTTCTGGGGCTCTGTTTCCCCCACCTGTGAAATGGGGCCATCATCAATCAGTACGTACCTCCCAGGGCTGTGGGCAGGAAGGGTGGCGGCCCGGGCAGTGCTCCTGAGGGCGGCACCAAGTTGCTGGTGGCTCTCTCCCCGACCCACGCGTCCACACCGCCTCCGCGAGCTATCAGCCGGCTGTGCTGTCCGGGCGGCCCCCTTGGTACGCCCCCCAGGTACCCCCCGCTCCCGCCCCAACAGCGGCAGCCGCGCGAGGCCCCGGAAGCCGGGCCGCCCCGCCCCCCGCTCCAGCCCCGGCCCCGGCCCCCGCCCCTCGCCGGAGCCCCGCCCGCCTTCCGACGGGGGTGCGGCTCCAGGAAACGGCGCGCTCGCCGCTCAGCGCTCCCGCGACCCGACGCGCCCCGACGACCCGGCGGTCTCAGCTCGACCACCCGGCGGGCCCCAGCGGCGGCAGCGGGGTGATCGGCTTCGGGTCTGAGCCTCGGACATCTCCGACGGACGGGGCGGGCGGCGCGGATAGCAGCCCGGGGGGCCATGGGGACCCAGGCCTGGCCACCGGCCGTGGGCCAGCGGGAGCCCCGAGTCTGAAGAGCGGGCGCCGGGGGCGGCGGGGGCCATGACCTCGGTGTGGAAGCGCCTGCAGCGCGTGGGCAAGCGGGCCGCCAAGTTCCAGTTTGTGGCCTGTTACCACGAGCTGGTGGTGGAGTGCACCAAGAAATGGTGAGTGGCAGGGAGGCCTGGGGGCCTCCGCAGACCGGCTGGGACCCCACGGCGCCGCTGGAGCCGGAGAGAACCCTGCCCCCAGCCCGGTGGCCCCGTGCCCCCACCTTGGGCCCTGGTGTCCCGGACACAGAGACTCAAAAATGCCTCTGCAGCTTGTGGGACCCCTGGAGTTGAGGGTGTGGGTCGCTTTTGGGGAGTGGAGGTCAGAACTGGCAGGCCTGAGAATCAGTCTGTGCCCACAACTTCCCTAGTGGCGCTCAGTGCTGGGGGAAGGGAGGTCTCATGTTTTTGTGACCAGAGGGACTGTTGGGGTAACATCAGGAAAGGGAGCAAATTCTGAGGTCTGCGGGTGGCCTGGTTGTGGCAGAAACCTCCATGCACCGCAGCGCAGAGCAAGGGTGTTGCCCCCTCCTTCTCTGCCCACTTGTTGAGCCAGAGGAACCCACACGCACACTTCAGCCAGAGTGGGTGCTGGGAGGCTGGCTGTGTCTCCACAATGTCCTTAAAAGGGGAAACTGAGCACTGGGAGGGATGAGGAGGGAGGCCCCATCAGCTTAAAGGAGCCTGAGGGCCTAGAGGGCTCTGAGTCTGGGAGGAGAGGGCTTGGAGGGCGTGGCTGCGGGTTAGGGAGGATAGGTGAGAGTATACAGGACCTAGCTGGACCGCCTAAGGGCCCCAGGGGGCATCTTGTTCATGTGCTCCTACCCGCAGCTGCCGGGACCCCTGCGTCACACCCTAAATATATGTGTTCACTGGTGTTCGCTGGTGTCGGCTTCCCTTGGCTGGATTAGGGCACAGCTGTGGGGGCCTCACGCGCCAGGCCCAGCTAAATTTAGGCTCCCAAGAGGAAGAGCTGCTCAGGCAGGAAGGGATTATGGGGTCCAAAGGGAGGGGAGTGAGCAGGAGGCTAGGGTCCCTGGGGCAGCAGCCATATCCCTGGTTTTGACTGGGCCAGCCAGAGGGCCGTCTCACTGCCTTGGCGAGGCCCAGAAAAGACCAGGGCCTGGCTAAGGTAACACAGCACAGGGCTAGGATTTGAACCCCGGCCTCTGGCTTCTGCCTTCTGCCTGGGGGAGGCCAAGGGGGGGACGCTGGGCATGGTCCCAGAGCCCAGGCCTGGGGTGCGGGCAGTGGCAATGCATCTGAGTCACGGGAGCCCAGGCTAGGAAGCTGCCCCTGCCCAGGTCTTGACTCCCCAGGAGGGTGTGCCCAGCCTGAGTCAGGCCGCCTGGCCAGACCCCGCCCTCTCTAGGCACCCCCTGTCTGCTTCCCCTTTCTGGGAAGTCCCCATGGCTACCTTGCTCAGCCATCGCCTGCAGTCTGGGGTTAGGAAGGGGAGCTTGGCTGCAGGCTGGAGGGCTCTGGGCTCTGCTTTGTGACCTTGTCTGGCTCCCAACCTCTCTGGGCCTCAGCATCCTCAGGGGCTAACCAGGAAGCCATTTGTCCAGCCTCAGCCCACAGAGGGGCGGTGAGGTAGGCAGACCTAAGCGTCCTGGCTTGGGGCTGGGCACAGGCAAGAAGGCCTCCTGTCCTGTCCTTGGCCTCATGGTCCCTTCAACCACCCCCACCCTCCTGGGTTACAGCTGGACCCTCTAACCTGAGACAGCCCTCTCCCTCCCCGGCCCAGCCCTGTGTCAGTTCTGGGTGGCTGGGCCCGGCGCAAGCAACTTGTTGCTCTTGTGTTATCTGTCTCTTCACATCTCTGCCTCTCTCGAGTCTGCCCTGGCCTGTGCGGTTCAGCCTGGTGGTCACCCTCTGGAAGTCTTCCTTGATGCCCCTTGTGGGAGTCAGGAGCCCTGCAAAGCTAGAGTCCAGAGCTCAGGGTTTGAGAGTTGGGGAGCATGGCTGATTCTCAGGGCCCCCGGGCTGTGGGTGGGTATCTAATGGCAAGCTGACCCTCTTCCTCTCCGACCACCTCCCACCCTCTACCCCTCGCTCTGACCCCAAGCCTCCCCCCAACCTCAGACCTTTGCGCTTGCCATTCCTTCTTCCTGGAGCCCTCCTTCTCCAGACCTGCGCACAGCCTGTCCCTCCCCTCTGAGCCCCTGCTCAGACACCCCAACCTCAAGAGGATCCCAGTGGCTCTCTCCCATCTCCCTGAAGTCCGCTTGTTAATTTATTTTCCTTCTTGACTGGCACTCTTCCCCAACCTCTGTCGTCCCCAGCCCCTGAAGGGTCTTGCCTCCCCTTAGCTCTGCTCTGCCCCTAAACTTGGGCTAGGTTTACAGGGTGCACTCCCCCCATATTTGTGAGTGAACAGGTTTGTTTAACTCTGAGTCTGTCCCTCTCGGTGTCTCTAAGTCTGTGTCTCTTGCAAGGTCCTTGCTGGGTTTATGTGGGTCTTTCTGTCTCTGTGTGTGCCTGTCTCTCTGAACGTCACTGTCTCTCTTGCTGTCTGCCTTCACGATCCCTGCAGACCCACATGGGGCCTTTGCCCTTCTGCCCTGGGCCCCGCCCTGCCTGCGCAGCCTCACCCTGCTCCTGGTGGCTCCCGATAACCAGCTGCCTGGGCCATCTCCCGGGGGGAGGGGGATGTGGGCAGAAGGAAGACCCCGGAGGAGATGGAGAGCCGGGCCGGGTGGGCCTAACTGAGTAGAACCTCCTTCTCCCCACCC